GTTTTTCTTTGTAATTTTTAACTTGCGCCGTTTTATTTTGGGCTTCTTTGTGTCATTTTGCTAAATATTTCATTAGTATTTGTTGAAATCGAATTCTGAAACCATGTCGGTCACTCCACTAACTCAATTTATTCGGGCATCCGATAATGTTGTTAAATTTGCTGCTGCTTTTAAATTGATTAAGGCAGAAACTCACACGGTTTTCAATTTAGAAATTCGAAACACCGAACTTCAGGACTTGTGGTACAAAGTGAAGGATACTTATTAAAAGTATCTTGATTATTTGATAACCATTGAGGGTACTACCTCAGACGGAATTGCTTCTGCTGATGAAAAATATCAGTCCACCAGAGAAAACTACGTTGAATGTTTGTCGGAAATAACTGAAATGTTGCAGAAACTAAGGTCTGTGAAAACACCTCCTTCTAAACCATCTGAAATTTGTGTTAGTACCCCCCAGAATGTCCAAAATCAGGTTTCTGTGGCGCGGTCATGCAATAGGTCGAATACTTCACAGTCAGGTGTAGTACCAATCCAAACCATGTACAGAATAATAGTTTGCCGCCTTTATCCAATATGGCTTATCCAGATATTCAGAGTACTACTGATATCTCAGTTTCGAATTGGAGTTTACCGCCTTGTGGTTCCGACACCATGCATAATCTTAATTTACCGCCGTGTGATATAGATGATTTCCACGGAGATTTTTTGTCGTGGCCCACGTTCCGGGATTTATTTTCTGCAATGTTTATAAATAATTCCCGATTAACTGATATTGAGAGGTTGTGTCATTTGATTAAGAAAACTCAAGGTGAGGCTAGGGAAATTGTGTCGAAGTTTCCACTCACGCATAAAAGTTTTGTTCTGGCTTGGAAAGCTCTTAGGGATGCTTATGACAACAAAAGAATTCTAGTCAATAGTCATTTAAAAATTCTGTTCGATCTTCCATCGTTAGCTAATGAAACGAGTTCAGGTCTTAAAACTTTACAGAGAGGCATAAACGGTTGTTTATCTGCTATGTCAGTCTATGACATTGTCTCGGATCATTGGGATCCTATTTTAGTTTTTATTTGTATTCAGCGTCTGCCAAAACTTACGGTGACACTCTGGGAACAGAGTCTCACAGATAAGTCTTCCTTATCGTCATGGGCTCAGCTCAATTCGTTCCTTACGGAGAGAATTCAGACGCTTGCCTGTTTGCGGGACATAAAAGGTATAGATTCATCAAAATCCCCAAACCAACGCAACGTTAAGGCACATTTGGCGAAAACTCCCCCTGATACAGTAAAATCTTATTCAAAACATCGTTGTGTTGTATGCCCTAATGGAAATCATGCACTCTACTCTGGTCATCGTTTCAAAAAGATGTCTTTCGATCAAAAAATTGCTGTTGTAAAAAAGTATGGCTTTTGTTTCAATTGTTTGTCAAGAGGTCGTTCTGTTAGTAATTGTCCCAGTGCACATAGCTGCTATGTATGCTATGAAAAACATCATACCCTCATGCATAAACCCAATCGATCGGCACCTACAAATAGCTCCTCCTCAAATGTGACGCCCACAGTTCGAGTCCCAAGAACTGCTTCCAATTCTAATCTAGATAATGTTGCCTCTACATCCACTGGTGCTAATCCAACTGTAGTGAACCGTCAAGTGTTTCATACATCGCATAATTCGCTAGTCCTTCTCAGTACCGCCATGGTAAATATTGTTCACGAAGGAAATTCTTATCCTGTTCGAGCCCTCATTGACCCTGCGTCTGAGGCTAGTTTTATAACTGAGAACCTTCAAAATAGATTGAAGTTGTCGTCTCGATCCACTCTTGCAACCATTTCTGGTGTAAATGGTTCGTCTTCCGTTACCTCTAGGAAAACCTGTCGAATTTGTATAAGTTCTCGCTTAAGTGCTTCAATTTTGTTGAAAACAGATGCTTTTGTGCTCCCCAAGATTTCTAGCAACCTTCCATCGTGTTCGGTTCTCTGCCAAATCTCCGGTTGGCTGATCCAAACATTTTTGACTGTCGTTCCGTAGATATGTTGTTGGGTGCAGACTTATATCCGCAAATATTGTTGCCGGGGGTACAACAAAATATATTAGGCTCTCTATTGGCGCAAAATACCGTCTTTGGTTGGATCCTCTCGGGTCCAATTCCCTCCTCACCATTGCAGGTCTTTACGACCACTTTGAGCTTCAGTGAGGAAGACAGCCTCAATAAAATCATTCTGCGTTTTAGGGAACTTGAGGATGTTCCCAAACGCAAATTACTTTCGTCATCAGACAAGTTCTGCGAGGACAATTTCCGGTCCACAACTACGAGAAACTCGAAGTGTCGTTACGTTGTCCCACTTCCCATACGTTCTGAATTTCCTCACAGCCTGAAAATTTGTGGTTCGCCTCAGAATGTTATGAATCCATTTTTATCGAATGAAAATTTGCTTCAACGCAAATTTTCTTATAGGTGCCCCCCTTCCTGCTCTACCAGAACCCCTTGTTGAAGAATCGCCATTGAGTTTGGTCAATCGGTATAAAAAACGTAAGGCATTGACGCATCAGTTTTCCATTAGGTTTAAGGAAAGAGTTTGTTTAGCTATTCGAGACGCATCCTGGTAATGATAGTAAGGTTCGCGTTGTAGACGTCCGAACTACTTAGGGTATTGTTCGGCGACCAGTCATCAAGTCAGTCGTGTTAAATAATTAAGTATGTTGTTTGCGAAACATACCTCGTTTGGTTGGGTAATTTCGGGCCCCGTCAACATGTAATTAACTGTCATTAGTTTAAAAAAAATGAATTGAATTGAATTTAATGAAATGAAATTTGCTCACATATAAACTGAACTTACGTCCTTGTAAATATTATTGTACATATTTATATATAACATAATTCCTTTGAGCTTTATTTAGTTGATACACATGCATGTATATCAAGGTGGGCGGCAATGTATAAGTTAGATACTTTGCCCCTCAACTTCCCTTGCTCGATTAATCACGGATGCTGATTGGCGCACAGGCATCTCCTCTACAACTCCCCTGGCGGAGACCGTAGTAAGCGGATCGTCGCTGGGCATTGGTTGTTGTCGGTAACCTCACCTTGTTACACATGCTCTCATTGGAAGTAGTTGTAGTTGTATTAGTAGACAGACATGGGATCCTCTGCGATCACCTAGAACCTCTGCGTTCACTTGTCTTTAGTCTTTGAACGAATACCCATCACGGCCACTGTCGCCAACACACCATATTGAAAAGAGGTAATCCTTATTGTTGAAAAAACACATCAAAGCTATTCAATAAATCAGCAGACTTACCAAGAAAAGAAATTAATCCTATTTGTTTGTTTTATTTCTCATTGTTTCTTTTCCCCCATTACTCTACATAAACATTTTGGTCGCATCGAGCCGGATTTGCCAAGTTGAGAAGTTTGCCTGGATATTAATTGCTGTTTTTGTTATCTCTTTTACAAAGGAATCATCTGCAAAACACACATCCCCCCTCATTAATCGCACCACCGCATCAACATCATCTTATTCATCATCATCAACATCAAAAAAGGTACGTAAGTTCAGTGAAATTTGTTATTGTGAGCTTAGAGTGCTATTTATTTTGAAAAAAAATTTAGTGAAAAGTATTAGTTTTTGTTTGCTTCGCGGTACTGTTCGCCTTTGTTTTACCCTAACTTTCGGTATCTTACATTTACAGTCCACAACAATTTTATTTTGCTGAAAAATCTATTAAAGATTCCTTAAAATCGAGACTTATTCGCATTATTTTCCATTTTGTTGCGAAATAATCGAATTTCCCGGTTAATTTGTGTTTAATAATTCACATTTATTCTAAAAGAAATATATTCCTATTTATAAAATAATCTGCCGCTGTAGTGTGCATAATTTTGTTTTCGGTTATTGCAATATTCTCCACATATTTCTGCATTGTCGAGTGATCTCTTTACATCTCACCAATTCGGTATTACTCTCAACGAGAATAAAATCACCACATTGCAAGTGCCGCTTTTTCTAATTAACATACCAACACTTGCTAAATCCCCTCGTACCTCGCCCCAACACACACTGTTTTGTCATTTTCGTTGGTCTGTTTGTCTTGTCATTGCAATAACAATAATCCCTAAAATTCCAAGCGCCTTTTTCTAGCGTCAGTCTACTAACCGACAACTATAACAACAACTTATTTATTTCTCCAACTCTCACTGTTGGTTCGTCGTCGTTGGTTAGTTCGTAACGAGGCAGTTGCTTACCCACACACACTGAGCGCTCTGCTGACGCTGCTTGTGTTTTATTTTCTTTTGTGCGATATCCGTTGCGATCATTGTCGTCGGTCAGCTCGTAGTGTGGTAGTTAACCCACCCCCGTCACCGTTCGACCAACAAACACTGCTTGTGTTTTATTCTTCTTTGTGCGGTATTCGTTATTCACCACTGCACAGTGGGTTCAAGTAGAAAAATGGTGAATTATAAAAAATAAAATTTTGGAAAATAATTTTTAATTTGTTTTTGATAATTGTCGATAAAAAAATTGTTTTTGGACTTTTTTAATTTTTGTCACCCTACATTCGGCATATTATATGTACTTTTTATTGTGCTCTTGTGCAAGGAAAATATCGATATTTTAGAAACTTCTCTTAAAAGTTTTGCTTATTTTAAAGAAATTATTAGTACGCGTGTACATATCAATATTTGTCAATTGGAAATACGTGCACCCTACGCTCGGCACACACCGACAATTTATAATTTTTCCTTATTTTTCGAACTTTTTCAGTATTTTTGATAAATATCGCCAATTTAAACATATTTTGATTATTACTTGGATATTTTTATACGTTTTATTTGCCTTTTCCTCATACATTTGTTTTTAATAGCTTTTTTGTTCCTTTTTCGCTATTTCTTTGGTAAAATTTGGGAATTTATTCAATTTTCTTTCCACCGAATTAGTTTTTCTTTGTAATTTTTAACTTGCGCCGTTTTATTTTGGGCTTCTTTGTGTCATATTATATATGCTAAATATTTCATTAGTATTTGTTGAAATCGAATTCTGAAACCATGTCGGTCACTCCACTAACTCAATTTATTCGGGCATCCGATAATGTTGTTAAATTTGCTGCTGCTTTTAAATTGATTAAGGCAGAAACTCACACGGTTTTCAATTTAGAAATTCGAAACACCGAACTTCAGGACTTGTGGTACAAAGTGAAGGATACTTATGAAAAGTATCTTGATTATTTGATAACCATTGAGGGTACTACCTCAGACGGAATTGCTTCTGCTGATGAAAAATATCAGTCCACCAGAGAAAACTACGTTGAATGTTTGTCGGAAATAACTGAAATGTTGCAGAAACTAAGGTCTGTGAAAACACCTCCTTCTAAACCATCTGAAATTTGTGTTAGTACCCCCCAGAATGTCCAAAATCAGGTTTCTGTGGCGCGGTCATGCAATAGGTCGAATACTTCACAGTCAGGTGTAGTACCAATCCAAACCATGTACAGAATAATAGTTTGCCGCCTTTATCCAATATGGCTTATCCAGATATTCAGAGTACTTCTGATATCTCAGTTTCGAATTGGAGTTTACCGCCTTGTGGTTCCGACACCATGCATAATCTTAATTTACCGCCGTGTGATATAGATGATTTCCACGGAGATTTTTTGTCGTGGCCCACGTTCCGGGATTTATTTTCTGCAATGTTTATAAATAATTCCCGATTAACTGATATTGAGAGGTTGTGTCATTTGATTAAGAAAACTCAAGGTGAGGCTAGGGAAATTGTGTCGAAGTTTCCACTCACGCATAAAAGTTTTGTTCTGGCTTGGAAAGCTCTTAGGGATGCTTATGACAACAAAAGAATTCTAGTCAATAGTCATTTAAAAATTCTGTTCGATCTTCCATCGTTAGCTAATGAAACGAGTTCAGGTCTTAAAACTTTACAGAGAGGCATAAACGGTTGTTTATCTGCTATGTCAGTCTATGACATTGTCTCGGATCATTGGGATCCTATTTTAGTTTTTATTTGTATTCAGCGTCTGCCAAAACTTACGGTGACACTCTGGGAACAGAGTCTCACAGATAAGTCTTCCTTATCGTCATGGGCTCAGCTCAATTCGTTCCTTACGGAGAGAATTCAGACGCTTGCCTGTTTGCGGGACATAAAAGGTATAGATTCATCAAAATCCCCAAACCAACGCAACGTTAAGGCACATTTGGCGAAAACTCCCCCTGATACAGTAAAATCTTATTCAAAACATCGTTGTGTTGTATGCCCTAATGGAAATCATGCACTCTACTCTGGTCATCGTTTCAAAAAGATGTCTTTCGATCAAAAAATTGCTGTTGTAAAAAAGTATGGCTTTTGTTTCAATTGTTTGTCAAGAGGTCGTTCTGTTAGTAATTGTCCCAGTGCACATAGCTGCTATGTATGATGTATGAAAAACATCATACCCTCATGCATAAACCCAATCGATCGGCACCTACAAATAGCTCCTCCTCAAATGTGACGCCCACAGTTCGAGTCCCAAGAACTGCTTCCAATTCTAATCTAGATAATGTTGCCTCTACATCCACTGGTGCTAATCCAACTGTAGTGAACCGTCAAGTGTTTCATACATCGCATAATTCGCTAGTCCTTCTCAGTACCGCCATGGTAAATATTGTTCACGAAGGAAATTCTTATCCTGTTCGAGCCCTCATTGACCCTGCGTCTGAGGCTAGTTTTATAACTGAGAACCTTCAAAATAGATTGAAGTTGTCGTCTCGATCCACTCTTGCAACCATTTCTGGTGTAAATGGTTCGTCTTCCGTTACCTCTAGGAAATTTGTATAAGTTCTCGCTTAAGTGGATCCTCTCGGGTCCAATTCCCTCCTCACCATTGCAGGTCTTTACGACCACTTTGAGCTTCAGTGAGGAAGACAGCCTCAATAAAACCATTCTGCGTTTTAGGGAACTTGAGGATGTTCCCAAACGCAAATTACTTTCGTCATCAGACAAGTTCTGCGAGGACAATTTCCGGTCCACAACTACGAGAAACTCGAAGTGTCGTTACGTTGTCCCACTTCCCATACGTTCTGAATTTCCTCACAGCCTGAAAATTGGTGGTTCGCCTCAGAATGTTATGAATCCATTTTTATCGAATGAAAATTTGCTTCAACGCAAATTTTCTTATAGGTGCCCCCCTTCCTGCTCTACCAGAACCCCTTGTTGAAGAATCGCCATTGAGTTTGGTCAATCGGTATAAAAAACGTAAGGCATTGACGCATCAGTTTTCCATTAGGTTTAAGGAAAGAGTTTGTTTAGCTATTCGAGACGCATCCTGGTAATGATAGTAAGGTTCGCGTTGTAGACGTCCGAACTACTTAGGGTATTGTTCGGCGACCAGTCGTCAAGTCAGTCGTGTTACATAATTAAGTATGTTGTTTGCGAAACATACCTCGTTTGGTTGGGTAGTTTCGGGCCCCGTCAACATGTAATTAACTGTCATTAGTTTAAAAAAAAATGAATTGAATTGAATTTAATGAAATGAAATTTGCTCACATATAAACTGAACTTACGTCCTTGTAAATATTATTGTACATATTTATATATAACATAATTCCTTTGAGCTTTATTTAGTTGATACACATGCATGTATATCAAGGTGGGCGGCAATGTATAAGTTAGATACTTTGCCCCTCAACTTCCCTTGCTCGATCAATCACGGATGCTGATTGGCGCACAGGCATCTCCCGTGGCGGAGACCGTAGTGAGCGGATCGTCGCTGGGCATTGGTTGTTGTCGGTAACCTCACCTTGTTACACATGCTCTCATTGGAAGTAGTTGTAGTTGTATTAGTAGACAGACATGGGATCCTCTGCGATCACCTAGAACCTCTGCGTTCACTTGTCTTTAGTCTTTGAACGAATACCCATCACGGCCACTGTCGCCAACACACCATATTGAAAAGAGGTAATCCTTATTGTTGAAAAAACACATCAAAGCAATTCAATAAATCAGCAGACTTACCAAGAAAAGAAATTAATCCTATTTGTTTGTTTTATTTCTCATTGTTTCTTTTCCCCCATTACTCTACATAAACACCACCAATAGATGGTCAGATAATGATGAAAGCGATGAGCACGAGGGAAACATGAATCACCTTGGTCCAAAATTGTTATCTACTCAATGTGAAGTAACATGGAAAGAAAGTAGTGATTGGGATGACAGTGATGATGAGCCCCTTGAGAAATACATGCGAGTTTCCGACGTGTCAAACAGACAGAGAAATACGAATAGTTGGCGCAAAGTTGAACCATCCTACGAAATAAATACAGAATGTACTATGATTCCACCAGGTGCTGAAGTTCAGTTATGTAAAACTCCGACTGATTTTTTTGAATTATTTTTCAACGAGGATATAATTAAAAATTTTGTGGAGCAAACAAACTTGTATGGGCTTCAAAAGAATGTTGATTTACAAGTAACATTGGAAGAGATCAAAGTATTTCTAGGAGGCATGCTAATGCCTGGATACGCTAGGTATCCAACAAAAGAATGTTTTGGTCAAACTTCTCCAAAATAGCATGAGGATGAATATGTTTGAACAAATACTTAAAAACTTTCATTTGAATAATAACCTTAATATCGATGAAGCGGATCGCCTTTACAAAATTAGGCCACTAATATACCATTTTAATGCATCATATCTACGACACGGTGGGATTGAAGAAAATAGATGAAAGTATGATCCCATATTATGGCAAGCATTATGCCAAGCAATATATTCGTGGAAAACCCATCCGATTTGGTTTTAAAAATTGGGCGTTAATTTCTGCTAACGGTTGTATGGGACAATTTGATATATATATGGGGAAAACGGCAGAGTGTACTCCCAAAGGATTTGGTGTAGGTGGCGATAAGGTCCTTGACCTCCTCTCAAAAGCTAACGTCCATCTAATAAAGGATTCAAGGTAATATAATAAGAGTGTTCATATTAAAAAAATAATAATATAATTTTACGTATTCTAGGTATTCATAGACAACTATTTCACATCCGTAAAATTACTGCGACACTTGTCTTCCATCGGAATATGTACCTCGGGAACCATACGGAAAGGTCGAACAGAAAAATGTCCCCTTCGCTCAATCCCGGCAATGAAAAAAAAAAAGATAGAGGTTCATTAGATCATCGATTTACAGGTAACGGTAATGTATTGCTAACACGATGGAAGGATATTAATGTTGTTACAATTGCCACCAATTTTGATAGTAATGAAGTGGGAACATGCAAACGCTTCGTTAAAAGGGCGGGGTTCTTTAAGTATTCCTCAACCAAAATTGTTTCATCGATATAATGTGGACATGGGAGGAGTGGATAAAATGGACCAACTAGTTGCAGTCTACCGCTCTAGAATCAGGAAAAAAATGGTGGTGGCCCATATTTGCATATTTGCTTGATGCGTCAGTAGTGAATGCATGGCTGTTAATGAAGAAGTTACATCCCAATGATCCGGCATATTCAACTCTTCTAAATTTTCGCCGTTATATTGCAACATCATATCTGGAATCGTATGATACCCCAGCATCAAGAGGTTTGCGCAATAGCAATGTCACTGCAGATACAAGATATGATGGCAGAAACCACATTATTGAATATTCAAAAACAGATAAACGGTGTGGATTATGCGGCAAAAAGTCTAACTTTATTTGTAAGAAGTGTGACAAAGATCTCCACCCTAAAAATTGCTTTAAGGAATATCATAAGCCAAGTGTACCCAATGCGCAGCGTCCCTTATAAGGGACGGTCCATAACTCCAAAACCATAAGCTTTTTTGAATAAATTGTTTTTAAAACAAATTAACTAGACCATTTTTATTTGTAATTGGTGTAAATCGCTTAAAGATAGTGCCCAGGCAACTTCGTCCACTATTGGGTTAAAATGAATGTTTGTGAACGTCCATTTTTTGCTCTTTTGCATTTTTTAATTATATTAGAAATTATTGACAGATCTTATGTTTTTGTATTTTTCGACTAAGACATAGTTTTTATTGCCCGGCTTTTGAGACTACAGAGCGTGGGAGTTCCCCACGTTGGGACAAAATAAAAAAAAACTGAATGAACAAACAACATTTTCAGGGAAATTAAACGACGCATAACTAAATGACACACCAATTAGAATAAAAATATATAGGCCTAGTGATCACCAATATTCAAAACACATCCTTATTCACAGAACCTCCATATTTGAGTTAAACAGACACATCACATAGCTATGTTACCCATCCATTACGCACATCAATTTTTGATCTCACATCCCTATCGATAATTTTACACAACGATTGTTTGCTTAGCAAAATGAAAATAAAAGAATTGGGAGAAAAACAAAAACACAAATTATTAATATTTTTCTCACTGAGCAGTGGACTGTATATTTTTTATAGGGTGGCTGTTCGTGGAACAATATTACCTTCGTACAAAGGGTTTTTAGCAGTAGGACGTAATCCTATGCTTGTTAGTACTCGTAGAGTCGGTAGAATACTGTAGAGGAGGCAATTACAAAACGTCACTCCTTAGGAAATGTCATTACCTTTGACATTATGTACGAAGTACAAAGTCGTATTAAGAGGTAGTAGACATTACCTAAGGAGGAGAAAAATCACCCGTGTTACAAATATGTAATATTAACGCAATTTAATGAAAATTGGCTGCCGTATAGCCATTGTTTATACGGATTGAAGTCATTTGTGTGAAAAATGAAAAAAGAAGACGTAGTCGATCCAGATGGTCGTTGAACAATATTTGCGTAGCAAGTAGAGAATAATAGTGTTGGCGATGGAATTTTTATATTTTACATTTGAAAAGAGACCTATGCTAAAAACGTATGGAAAAATAGCGTCCGTATGGAAAAATGTGAGCAGTAATGACTCAAAGTCCCTAGTCGTAATCTTAATCTAAGGAGAATCCCTAAACAGAAGGTTGTGGAGGGGAGTTTGGCATGGGACCAGTAATGATCCAGCCGAAGGCAGTGCTCTGCGCTATCAATGAACCTAGTACGTTGGTACGTGTACCCTGTAGCAGAATCTTCGGATAAAGATCTGCTCCTAGTAATAGGTCAACAGGACGGAAAGAAAAGGGATCAGGGTCGGCCAAACAAAGATTAGGCAATTGCGGAATGGTGTCACGTTTTAGGGAAAATGATGGCAGATTTTCTGCAATTGTCGGCAGAATCAGAGCATTAGTTTCCATTGTCTGCGTGGCATCCAATGAAGAACTGATACGAATGGGACATTGCTTATGGGAAATTAGTGAAACAGACCCACTAACCCCCGAGATTGAAGCTTGAACGTTATTCGCGCCTATACCCAATCTTTTTTGTATACGTTCAAAAACAAAAGATGCTTCTGAAGCAGGATCTATTAAGGCTCTAGCTGGGTACGTAGTACCGTTGTGCACAATATGCACCATAGCTGTGCCTAACAATATTTTCCTGCTCTGGGTGGTATAAAATACCTGTCGGTTTGAAGACCCTGATGTGATACTGTTAGAAGTAGTAGGTAGAATTACCTGATCTGGACTTCTAACATTTGAAGTCGTCGGAGACGATTGAGGCGTGGCCTCGATGTGTAACAGCGTGTGATGCCGTTTATTGCATATAGTGCAGTTGTAAATGCTGTTGCATTTTGAAGATTCATGTCCGTGAGACAAACAATTAAGACAACAGAAGTGTTTCTTAACTTTGCTAATTCTTTCAGGAACTGAAAGTCTAAGGAATTTATGACAAACTTTTAGATGATGCCTTTGTCGTGAACAAAGCGCACATGATTTAGGCGAGGATGTACGAGGTAACTTAAAGAAATGAGGGGCACTTTGGGCCGTGACGGAATTTGATGTATTCGTTGCACCATTCGTAGAAAGGGAACGTTTATCATTGTTTAGAGGTTCGACGTAATCGATGCCCCTAATGTCACGTAAGCAGGTCAGAGTTTGGATCCTATCTGTAACAAAGTGATCCAAATCTTTCCACGAAGACAAAGTAGATTTGTTCTTTATGCTTTGTTCCCAAAGCACCACACAGTTCCTAGATAACGTCTGAAGACACAGGAAAACTAGAATAGGATCCCAGTCTTTTGTCGACACATAATAATTAGACATGGACGAAATACACCCGTTTATGCCTCTTTGAAATTTCTTTAACCCCGCACTAGTTTCTTTGTATAAAACTGGAAGGTCAAAGAGGAGCTTAAGTTGGTGGTTCCCAAAATTCGAGGATTGTCATATGTAGATAATAATGCACTCCATGCTAGATTAAAGTTTTTGTGTGTAAGCGAAAACTTAGACACAATTTCATGGGCATCACCACTAGTTTTGTTATTTAAATGGCATAAACACTCGATATCGCTTATACCGCTATTATTTATATATATGGCAGAAAATAAGTCCCTGAACGTAGGCCAGGAAAGAAAATCGCCATTGAATACTTCGATGTCACAGGGTGGCAAATTTAACCTGTGACTGGAAATTTCATTTCCACAGGAAAGATGAATTTTGGGAAGTTGCGGATCGATGCGGAGCATTCGATACGGTCGCTGTATCCTCGGAACGAGGTATTGACGTGTTACCTATATGAGATTTTGGTGAAATTACAGTAGGTGACTTAGGCGAAGCCCGTAACGCACCTAACTTTCTATTAATGGACGCTAGAACATTTAAAAAACGTAGGCGACATCGTATTTGATGTCGGCGGCTGAAATGTCGTCCTCATTAGAATTTTTATCTTCATATAGGTAATCCAGGCACTTTTCAAATTGGAATTTAACTTTATCCCATAGTGTTCTGACCTCAGCTCCTTGTAATTCTAGGATGTAAACATCGAGCTCTTCTTCCCGTTGGGAACTGGAATTGGCATCAAATTTTACCAAAGCATTAGTAGCTCGGATGAATAAATCCAAAGGAGTGAGTGGCATTTTGAATGCAAATCAGAAGCAAAACAAATGAATAATTTTTATTTAGACACGTAATGTCTTGTTTGAAAAACAAATGCAGCTGAAGAATACAGAACACTGATTGTATAATAGTCGTGGACTATTCCCAATATTAATTGAGGTTTAACGTGATTAAACCACAAGAAGTAAAATATTATACAGAAACTCGAGTCGAAAAACTCAAAAATGTGACGAAAATCACTAGAGCCGATGGTAGGGTGCACAGGCCGTTAGTTGTGCTCTTCCAATCGTTCACAACAATGTAGCAAATTATATAAATTTCTTTAAAATAGTTCAAAAATTAATTGTAATATTTATTTTAAACGTAATTTAATTAAATATTACTATCAATTATTAATAGATTATGATGAATGTTTTACCGAATGTAGCGTTGATTATGTCGGAGACAGCGAAATTTATTAACAGTAGTTGATATCCGAAGGAATCAATACAAAATTGAAAACAGTAGTGCAAGCAAAAAATATAAAAGAAATGTGCTAAAAATGCAATTATTAGGCAAAGCGAAATCCAAATTACTGTGACTGTGGTCGTGTATGCGATTTGTTGTAAACAAATCGAATTGTGATATTAGTATGTTTTGTTGCTTGAAATAAATGCCGACGGCAATCTCATGGGAGACGGACGGACGTACAAACTTGTTGAAAACGACCGAAGGCTTTGTTTGTTTAGCAAGCACAACACTAACAAATTTAGGTATGTCACTTTAGAAGTAATTCAGAGTGTACATACCTTTGTTGTGGCGGTTTAATTAAAATGAAATGAAGTTTATTTAGATTTGATGGTGGCGACAAAGTCGTTTCCTCGGTGAGGCAAATAGACGGATCGTAGAATCTAATGTTTTTGCTGCGAAACAGTCGTTTCTTTGTTGTCTTTCCTCGTGAAGGAAGGAGACAGATCGTAAAATCCGGCTCGATCGGACCAATGTTTGCTTACCAAAATGAAAATAAAAGAAATGGGAGAAAAATAAAAACACAAGTGATTAATATTTTTCCCACTGAGCAGTGGACTGTATATTTCTTATAGGGTGGCTGTTCGTGGAACAATATTACCTTCGTACAAAGGGTTTTTAGCAGTAGGACGTAATCCTATGCTTGTTAGTACTCGTAGAGTCGGTAGAATACTGTAGAGACGGCATTAACAAAACGTCACTCTTTAGGAAATGTCATTACCTTTGACATTATGTACGAAGTACAAAGTCGTATTAAGAGGTAGTAGACATTACCTAAGGAGGAAAAAAATCACCCGTGTTACAAATATGTAATCTTAACGCAATTTAATGCAAATTAAGTTTGAAATTAAACAACGAATTTTATTAACATGAAAACAGTTTTATTTTTCTGAAAAGACTCTCAAATTTTGAAACCAATTTTTTCGGAGTGTGCCACATAAACAGATCTTCCATAATTTCAAACACCGTATCCCTAAATCCATTAGAATGTCAAACTCGTAACGTACAATTTTCACCGCACATATAATTTCATATCCAATGCATATTTTACATACAGCACAGGTATTTTTCATAATCCGGCATATGTATCTTTATCTCTCTCAAAGAAATTAAAACTTTTTGTTTTTTTATAGCATGTGTATGTGTTATTTTATTACCACAGGCAATAATTATATATACGCAATAAATTGATCCGATGTGCCTAAACACCCCCAAATTGGCAGATAAAATTTTGGCACATTTTCATTTTTTAAATTCATTTTTTCTCAAAAGTCATATGAAAAGATATTTTTAGTTTTACTTGAAAATAATTTCAGAATTGCCTGTCTCGTTATCTCTTTCAATATACAAACCTTTATAATGTATCAAATATATAGAAAAGAAATAACACTCACCAGAAAATCCTA